GCAATGTTTAGCACCGATCGCTCTTGTACCGAGCGTGGAGTGTTGTTAACAGGTCCGCAGGCGACAGGGATGGACACGACACTCTTACGGGCAGTAATGTGGCGGCGGGTACGAGGCAGTAGTGGCGGCAGAGCTGCCGCTCGCTGGAGCAAGAAGGCAGAAGGTTCGATATGATATGACTTACTAGGCACACTGGTAATTTAATTTAATTATTGTTTAGCGGTTATGCCGTTTAGCGGTTTTTTTTTATTTTTAATGCTAGTAGTCATATCCTAAGTGCCTAGTCAGTCATAATCATATCGCCACCTATCTTGCCGGGTGCCTGATGCGAGATGAATAGGAGAGCGATGTGAGGTTGTCTATTGTTATATCTCTGGTCAACGCTGTCTCGTACATATATATATATATATCTGGTCTCGGCTATGTTGAGTTCTAGACAGTGCTGATTCTGATGTTCGGCTGTACGATTGCGCTGTATTTCGTTAGCGTTTCCGTATACCCGTCTCTTGCGAAAAAATCGATGCGTGATTGTGATCAATCGTTACAGGTGCTCATCATCATCACTCGTCATCATTCACTCATCATCCATCACATTGTCATCATTTATCTCAATCAAATCATGATCTCGTGTCGTCATTATCCATCGTCGTCGTCGTCGTCGTCGTCGTTCGTCGTCGTCGTCCGTTGTCGTTCGTCGTCGTCGTTCGTCGTTCGTCGTGTCGTCGTCGTCGTCGTCGTCGCCGTCGTCGTCGTCGTTCGTCGTCGTCGTCGTCGTCGTCGTGGCGTCGTCCGTCGTCCGTCGTCATCCTCATCATCATTGTCATCGTTGACACTGCGGACGACACGCGCGCGAACCGGCTAATGCACATGTGTAGCGTTTGTGCCCTGCATGCATGCGTGCGTGCGTGCGTCCGCGTCGGCCCCCCCCCCCCACCCCCCCCCTACGTGCTACGCCGGCTAGCAACGTGCGGAGTGTTGAGGCGTAACGTGTAACGCCGGCCGGTGAGTGCGTGCGTGCTACGGGCGTGCGTGCGTTGCGCCGCGTGCGATGTACGCCGGGTACGTGACGTACGTGCACGCGTGCCTATATTTTTGTACTTTTTGTTAAATGTAGACGTGCGAGTCAGCTGATGCTTACGTGCGTGTTTGCATCCGTGCGCTCGTCCGTGTGTGCGACTGTGTGCGCACACACAGGCACAAAAACTTTGTATTGCCATTGTAATGTTATATATTTTATTCGGCTAGTTATATATAAGCGGCCTATATATATATATCATTACAATGGGGACACAGCACACTCGAAGCGGCGAGTGCGGGATCGGCTAGTTCTGCATTAGTTTTGTGAAAGCAAGTTGATATACAGTGACGCAACAGTGGAAGTGTAATTGAGGGGTAGTATTTGTGAATGTGCGTTCATATTATTTTCAGTTTTCGCTGACTCTGTCCCAAGTGCCTGTGTGCGTGCACGCCGGGCACGCTGAGCACATCTGTGTACACTGCTAACTATATAAACTACCAGTGCGTTCACGAGCAGGAGCAATAAAACTAAGGCGTGTTTGCTCAGTGCCGGACGAGAACGTCGATTGATTGATTAATACGGAGTGATGGAGGGAGGGAGGGAGGCGGCTTATTGTTTGTTGTGGTTATTTCAGTGTTGTTTACATGCGGTAGATTAGTCTGATGACAGTGTGGGTGGAGCTGCTTAATGGGGGTATGATCGGTGGGTAGGCGGAGATGCGGTGATGGGGGGGGGGTTGCTAGGGACGCTACGTTGAGGAAGTGTTGTGTGTGTGTGTGTGCGTGCGTGTGTGCGTGCGTGCGTGCGCGCGTGCGCGTGCGTGTGTGTGTATGCGTGTGCGTGTGCGTGTGCGTGTGTGTGTGTATGCGTGTGTGTGTGTGTGTGCGCGCGCGTGCGTGCGCGTGTGTAATCTGCTTGGTACAACAGCGATGTTTACCAACTGGTGTAGAGTTGTAATATGCCACATCGACTTGACTGATGCGGTGCAAGCACATATCAGTGCATTTATTAATATATTTGCTGCGATAACAGTGCGACGATATCAAGATCGCATCAAGAGCTATATAAATACCTCTTTATATAATATTATATCTAAAAAATCTTTATTTGTATTTTGGTATATATTGGTATTTATTAGCTCATGATCGTATATATATATATATATATATATATATATATATATATATATTATATATACATACATAACAGTGTTTTTGAAGGCGGCACGGGAAAGTGTACTCTCTCACGTACTGCGGTGTTTGAAGTTGAGCAGGTAGAGAGTCACACCCCAGGTATCTGGGCCAAGTCGCAAAGAGTTAGATAGATATGTGGACGTGATGTAGCCTGCAGATTTATGGAACCCTCCGCCATCTATCTTAGCATCAATACGCGGACAAGAATGATTTTTTCAGCTTTACGGCCGTTGAATTGTTTACGTCGTCTTGCTGTTTGATGTTTGCATTTTACTTTACTACGTGAGGGGGTTGGGGTTTATGGATATTTTTTTCGGATGCAATTGGTAGTTGATAATGATAAGAACTGGCGTCCGGGTTCGGTTTGCGGTTTTATTTCGTGCATGCATGTCCTTTTTCGTAAGAGCATGTAATGGTATTGCGTGATTGTGCAGAATAGACCACAACTAGAAGCACGCACACCGACACGCACGCACGCGCGTACACAGGCACGCGCACACACACGCACGCGCGCACACACGCACACTAACACACGCACGCGCGCGCACACACACGCACACTAACACACGCACGCGCGCACACACACACGCACACTAACACACGCACGCACGCACGCAGGCGTTCCACATAGAGAGCTGTTACGGAATTGCATGCTCATCCCCGGCTCCCTCATCCAAGTTTATGGCTTCACAGGTCGCGAAGAGCGTGCGGGCTTTCAGAATCATCCCTCATTGTCCCGAAGGCTCTGCAGAGAAGGGAAGGAAGGGGAGCGGCGTGCCTGTGTCTGTGCTGTATCAATCATGTGGCTGCTTGAGCTGTATTTCCTGAGAAATCCGTGTTCTGACTCGGCGCTGACGTGATGTGATATTCATGATATGTTATGACTATGACATCGGCTTGCCGCTCGTGTGCGCGTGTGCGTGCGTGCGTGCGTGCGTGCGCGTGTGCGTGCGTGTGTGTGTGTGCGCGCGCGTGTGTGCGCACGTACGTGTGTGTGTGTGTTGGCCGTGTGTTGTGTGTGTGTGTGTGTTGTGTGTGTGGTGTGGTGTGTGTGCGGTGCGTGCGTGAGCGTTGCGTGCGTGCGTGCGGTGCGTGCGTGCGTTGCGTGCGTGCGTGCGGCGTGCGTGTGTGTGTGTGTACGTGTGGCGCTGTGTACGGTGTGTGCGTGTGCGTGTATATGCGCACGTGTGTGTGTGTGTGTGTGTGTGCGCGCGTATTATACAATAATCCATGGAGAGGACGGATACAGATGCAGCGAGTAAAACCCCGGGCACATATTCACCGCGTCCTTCGCCGCATTCATTTTTCCGGATGTAAACTCCCGGAGATGGTAAACGCCCGTCGTCAATGCAGCCATGGATCTATAGTGCGATGCCCCGCCACGGGGTTGGAAAAGATTCCGCGCGCGTTGTTCAGTGCAGCGCGTTCAACAGGGTGGCCTCCCTAGTCGAAGTGAAGTCATAACAGAAGGCGTAATGTGGTGCCTCCCTTCCCTTTACCCCATTCCCCCCACGCCTCCCTCCCCCACCCCCGGAGCCGCGGCTGCAACATCGTCACGTTTTCTTATCCAACCTTCAGTTCTTCGCAACTAAAGTTTCAGTTTCCGCTCACTTGCAGTATTTTCGGGCTAACTGTGTGTGTGCGCGTGCGTGCGTGCGTGCGTGCGTGCGTGCGTGTTGGGGGGGGGGGCCTGGCCCACGGCGAGTGGAGTGATGTATTTCTAACTACATCTTCTGTATTTCTAACTGTGATCGGTGTATGCCGGACAAGATGTATAGTATATGCTGTATAATCAGTGGCATCTCGACGTCGTCGCCTCGTGAAGTGATCTCGGCACAT